AATATTGTGTAGATGATTTTTAGTTATCATTTGACAGAATGACTTGAAAAAATTCAAACAAATCTTCTAAACGATACTACATTGATGTACATATAGAAAACTTTCTGGACTAGCTACTTTGAATACTGGAACTAGTGCTTGATAACTAAAACGCGTATCTGAAAGCCTTTAGTTACCCAGTTGGCAAGTTTTCAACAAAAATCAGTGTTCCACGTCTGAGACTTCGAAACATTGTAATTGCTAACTTTCAAATTGACTGGTTGAGAAATTTCTCTCAATGTCATCCATATAGTATCATTCAGCAGATTTATTTGAATTTTTTCAAGTCATTCTGTCAGGCGACAACTAAAAGTCATCTACACAATATTTCATATGTATTTTTTTACTTGACAACTAGTAAAGTTGCTTTGTTGACGTCAATTGAAACACTTAACAGTCGGATTTATTTACATTATCCGAATGAAAAAAATTGAATCCTTTTGAATGACCAGAAGTAGAAATATTTAAACTTCTTGTCGTTATGCTATTATTTATAGGCCATCCTGTATATAAAGATTAAATTTCGAAATAGAAAAAAAATAAACATTTAAGAAGAATGTTAAAAAAAACTCAATATTGCCAAGGGGCGGGGAAACCGCAAGATCTTGCGACGCACCGTCACCGCCCCGCCGGCGAGGCGGGACGGGGCGGGGCGGTGCGGTGTGAAACCGCGGCTCGCTCATCTCTGCTGCCATCATTTGTTAAAGAGCTTAATCTCATTGATCTAGTATATATTCTTTTTTGATTCGCTTCGATGAATACCAAAACAAACTTATTTAAGGAAGTTTTCTGTAACATACATATAGTTCTTTCTTTCAGAAAAGAAATATATATAGAGATTTACAGTTAAATCAACTTTTAAGTTTTATTTTAAAAAACTAAAATGTAAATCTTCATTCATTTTTTTTCTTTTGTTCTTCTATTGTCCCGTTGATCATTTTCAGATGATTAATGTTCAACCTATATAAATTATCCAACAGAAATTTAAAACAAAAAAAATAATTAAGTGTTTCTATTACTTGAAATCAATTGAACACAGGATGAATATTTTCTTTTATTTTTTAAATCATTCATCTCTTCCTGGGACTGAGTTGCTTCATTTGCTGCCTATTTCCAGGCTTCGTTTTCTGCAGCATCAATCGTGTCTTTGGCGTTTATATATTATCGTTAATATCACCTTTTTGTGCTGCTTCTAACTCTGCTAATACACGAGATCACGTAAAAGTCCGTGATGATATTCAATTGAAACAGTAACTCCTACCTATAAAAAACAAATACTTGGAATAAATCTTGATATTTCTTTTTACATATTTCATCTTCTTTTAATTTTATCTTTTCATATAAGTCATTGACATCAGTTTTTTCATTTAAATTGTTCATCTTGAACTCCTTGTCATGTAACTCTTTTGATTTTTTTTTCATTTAACTTCTTTATTTTTGTTTTTATTTGCAAAATTTCATTCAATTTTGATTTATTTTTATAAACATCAATCAATTTTGATTCAACATCCTGAATTGAATCATTTAATTTTTTATTCCGTTTAGTGGCGGAGCCAGGATTTTGGGTTGGAGGAGGCTGAGCCCCCTCAGCCCCCTTTTGGGCACCTTTGAGCCCCCTTGGCGAATAAAATGCATGCTTCAAAACTTTTCCTGAGGGGGGCTCAAAAGTTTCTGAGGGCAGCTCAGGACTTCCCAGCCACTCCCTGGCTCCGCTACTAATTCCAGTATAGAAATCTCAGCCAATTTTGTTTGTTCATTTGCACCAGCCATTCTTTATTTTATCTAAAAGATAAAACTAGTACTGTATATTTCAATACATGATGGTTTAGTCGAATGAACTGATGATTCGAAGTAAAAGCAGACGAAGAAAATCAGAGAAAGAAAAAGAAAAAGAAGAGCATGTTTTCGATCACTAAATTACATAAAGAGAGATGATAGAATGGAAGAACTAACTACTATCTATGAGTTATCTCATGATCGAAACCATGTTCTTCGTTTTTTTTTCTCTGATTTTCTTCATCTGCCTCTATTTAGAATCACTAGTCAACTTATTACTATGTGACCATAAAAATACTTGATTATTTTACTGACGTGAATTCGCAGGATTCTGCTTTCTGATGAAAAGATAAGTTTTTTAAAATTCTTCGTGAATAAATCTGTAAGATGTAGTTTTTAATCTTACCGGTATACATTGCTTGCTGCTGCTGTTGTTGATTAATTTTAGTTACTTGATTTCTAGCCACAGCTTGTAATGCAAGTGCTTGTGCATTTTTTGTTGTTTGAGAAATATTTGTAATCATCAAACTAGTAGTTGATTCATTCGTATTTTTTTTATTTGTTGTTGGTGCAATAGGTGAACAACAGTGGCGTAGCCAAGAATTTTTGAACTATGGGCCGTATACCAGCTAAATTATTTCGAGCACTGGGCAATAATGGGCAATTCAAAATCAACTGGGCCACTACTTCTTTCAAAAACTTCCTTCTCTCAGAAAAGTTGATGTTTGACGAAAAGAGATTTATTACTCTCAACTAAGAGAAGCTCTGTCACTTTTGCTGTTCTTATCTATAAATAGAGCTTTCGATTTTCACATAATCGGATATTTAACTTCGAAAAAAGCATAAATAACTCTTTAATGGCGAGATACGAGACATTAAAGAGGATTCATGTAGGCTCGACTTATTTTATTTTATTATCTTTTCTATTGTTTCACTGTAGCGCTCTTTTCTGCTGGAAGTTCATTATCAGGTGTAGCTAAGTTGTTAGTTTTTATTATCTTCTCGTACTATCATTCAGTAAAACCTATTTATAATCCTGTTTTAATTTGTTAAACTTCAACATTTCTTCAAGTTAAACTTTTCAATACCCGCCCACCCATTTCCCATTGTAAATAGTATATAGATGATCCTAAATAATTTCTTCCGGATAAGGTGGTTAGCTTACTAACTGCGATCTAGTCGTGTCAAGTGACACCAGACCTGAAAAGGCAAATTAGTTGTGTCAAATGACACTAAAACTACAAGGGGCAAGTCGTGTCAAGTAACACCAGAGCCGCAAAGGCAAACAGTCGTGTCAAGTGACACCAAGCCGAAAAGGCAACTCAGTCGTGTTAAGTAACACCAAAGCCAAAAAGGCAAAACAGTCGTGTCAAGTGACACCAAAGCCGAAAAGGCAAATTCCTCGTATTGGGTGTCTTGACATTCAACATGCTGAGCTGATTAACCTGTGCTTGTGACCCAACGGCCTGGAGCCACGGCACATACAGCTGGTCATTTTCTTTTTCATTTACATTTAAGCTGAAGTACGTGACCCAATCGGCGATTTGCCACGGCACGTCCAGCACAACTTTTTTATTTTAGGCTGGACGCTGCTGTTACTCTTCATTTATGCAATGTTAGCACTGGCTGTTAACATTTTCTTTATTATTCCATCATCCTACCAATTCATTCTCTCATCTTACAACGGGCGTTTGAAGTGCCCAAAAATGACTATAAAAAATGTCTTAACTTTATTTTATTTTTATTTTTGTTGTATTAATTGTTTTGTTTTTATCACTCTGTACTTTGGCAGTAAATACATATATGCCCAACTCGCCACTACATTAATAACAGTCTTTTCATAGAGAGATCGGCATGAAAAGATAGAATTGTAACTAATAATGGTAAGTATAGTAATTCCGATCCGTTGGGAATTTTCTATCAGGTGGTATCGAGTTTCTCAGATTTTTTGTATATTTTTTTCACAAAAGGAGTATAAATATATCTTTTTTTCATATTTTGAGTACTTTTTGTTGATGTAAAGGCTGTTTATGTAAAGAAGGAAGGATCAGACTGCTTGAATCAGTCAGAATTCATCACGAGATTCTTGGTATATTTTTGTAACCTACTTTTACATGAACCGATACTATTATAACAAACCTGTGTAATTGTTTGAAGTTGTAGTTTATTACAGATTTACTTGCACTTCTCTTATTATTTTTATAACGTATCTCCTACAAACTTCAAAGACAATAAAAGAAATGTGATACAAAAATTGGTTACAGATTCTGTTAATGACTGATATTCGTGTCTGACGAGTAGCTAATGAATATGAAAAGTCAATAGAATTTCTAGTGTTATGGATTTTTAAGTTCACTTATAGACGTTGATTGAAACGAAAATGATGGAAACGCACAGTAAAAATTACTATAAAATAACTGTAACCCTATCACTGTATCGACTGGAAGACGAATATGACTGGTAGAGAAGTAGATGTATGTCTCTGTTATATTGTCAACGATATGAAAAATGACTCATGTTAGCACCCATTTCGGTCCGATTCACTCGAACTTTCTCACTGTTATCGATAAGGAAAAAAACACCACGAGTAAAATTCTGCATTAGTTCACACACTGAATGGATTTCTTTTTGACAACAAAATCTGTTGAGTTCATGGCAGTTTTAATTTTTAAGTTGCGAGAGTTATGTCACCAGTCACACTATCAAAGTATTGTACTTAGACTATTGTATTGCTATCATATAGGTTCAATATAGTTTCATAAATTCAGAAAAATCGTTGATCATTTACTCACGTTTTATATTGACGAATTGAAAAAGAATGACGAGAGGTTTAATGAAAAATACCGCTGAATTATAATTACTGCAATTATTTGTTTAATCAGAAAAGACTGTCAAATGACCGTTCTAAATAACTACTTGGATTAGATTATTATAGGAGACAATTCGATAAAATAAAGTTATTTCGATTCTGAAAATGCATGTGTCTCAAGATGTTTTTGTATTGGGCAATAGCTATCTTCCCAGAAAATTATTGGGCAATTGCCCAATGGCTACCTCCTGGCTACACCACTGATGAATAAGATGTTGTTGATTGTTGAGGTTTAACTGGTGATGCAAAAACAATATTCATTGGCTCAACAAATTCACTATTTGTTTTTATTACAACTTGTTGTAATGTTTCTCTATTAACTGTCGAATATTTTTTTAATTTTTTGATTCATTTTAGCTTTAATTGTTCCTCCTGGTTCTTTTTTTGATTTTTGGTGATGAATTTCCCCTTGAGTTCCTTTCTTTTTCGGTGTACGAACAGATGAAGTTGTTATAGTTGGAGTAGGAATTTTTGAAAGCATCATGGTGTTTATGTTAGGTAATGATGATGCAGAATCTGATGAAAGAAAGGTGAATAGATCATCAGATGATGATGGTTCGTATTTAACTGATGAGACTAAAAAGAGAAAAAAATTATTTTTCAGTGAATTTTTAAGCAGTAACAACATTTTTTTATTCTATTTCATCGATAAATGAGTGACCAAACTGAAGTCAGGTGGAAGAATGATTAGATTATGAATTACTGGTTAATCAACTACAAAACGAATGCATAAACTAATCTCTAGTGATTAAAGATAGAATACAATTCTCATTACTTTATATAGTAGAGTGTAAAAAAAAACTATCGTTAGATTTTAGTACAATTCATCTGCTATGGTTTGGAAATCTTTTTTTATTTATAATATAATAAAAAACTAGATGGTATTCGAGTTTCACTCAACTATGTAATGCGGTGCGAAGCGATTTCAAATATCGATTATTGAGAAATCGACTTTTAGAAAACAGTGAATAATCGTTCCTACGATAAAGTATACAAACATTATCTTGAAAAGATATTTACAGTTTACTGAAATCAGATACTTTCTGTCGATGTAGTCAGAAAAGTTACGTTTCGATCAATTAGCTGATCAAGGTTGAAAAGAAATCGGAAAGTAGACACTAGTATACAGCAAGCTTTGTTAGAATAGCAAATAGTTCACCAGATAAATGTTCAATATCGTCAATGAAAGGAAAACCTCATTTATGAAACTTTATAATAAAAAACTATTCCGTGATTTTCTCATGATATCAATAGAGTTGATCATTTCAATGAGACATACAAATACTTGAATCCATATTCGACAAGAATCAATACTGATTGTGTATGCATGATCATTGGATACTTTCTCACGAGAAAAATTATCGATCGGGATCATCCAAAGTATATGATTCCAAGATAAAATGATTTCTCTCTTTTGTTTATAATAAAATTTGAGATTTTTCTAACACAATAATTATTGATGATCACAATATACCACATGTGAGCATCATTGAAATTTACACAAAAATAAAACCAACGATTTATAGTACTTTGTTAATTATTTACCTAATTAATTTAGTATACATTTTGTTAGACTTTCATGACTATTCGTTTTCGCTTTTTTATGATTGAATGTTACCATCTTGATACAATCATAATGCTCATTGTTGTATTGATTAAGCCTATAATCACAATTTGCAAAAAGTTATGCTTTTGTCTTGCTTCTTATTTTATATAAAGATCGAAGTTTTACACGGAAATTAATGACATTGAGCAGCAGTCAGAAAGCTTTTCAATGTCAATTTCTCAAAAAAAAAACTTATCTATCATAGATTTTACAATAAATTTATCTAGATTTCTGAGAAGTCTGAATCAATCACAATATATTCAAAAAGCTCATTCTGGAAATTTTACAAATGATGTCATTTCTACAGCTCAATGTATAGCATGAGCCATTTTTCTTGTCTAATTATTGCTGTTAATTCATACATTATGAAACGTTCTATCCGATTAAAGAAAAAATGACTGGTGCAACTTATGATAGTAAACATTGCTTTAATATTGAGAATATCAACTACGTGTAGATTAGCTACATCAAATGATCATTTGTGAATAGTTGACAATTGTCAAGATGCACATGCGTTGAATATAAATGGTACTGTTTATTCTTGTATAAATTCTCAACTGTGTATACATAATGTAAATTTTACTAAGATAAATTATCAAACTATTACTGCGATGTTTTCAATACATGCTAGTAAATCACTGATGCATTTCCTATTGAACTTAATGAATTTCGTTGTATAACTTATTAAATATAAGAAACCTTATTTCATGATCAAATTTAACAATGAAGTTTCTAATTTGCTCCAAGTTGTTTTAAGATAATCTTCGTCATTAATAACACATTGTAAATTTTTTCTTACGCTTTCTCATTCAGAAGATACATTCGTGCACAAATCATAAAACAATTTTCACATCTTTATGTTGTTCTTTCATGTCTACTTTATCCACAATGAGTCTTTAAAAAACTAATAAAGGTTTAAGTATTTGCCTTGAACTTTCAGTTACCTATCTAGCCTTCAGCAACTGAGAGTCGATTTGATGGAAAACAGATAAAAAATTAAACAATAATCTAGAAAAAAAATGACGACGTTTGTATTCTACAAGTGTTATCGGTCGAGATGGATGATGTTATTTCATAGAAGCGTGGCTACTGATAAGCTGAAAGAATTGAATCGACTGAAATCCTACGACATATCAAGAATTTCAATGAAAAAAATAACTGTTCATCATCAACTAATTCGTAATAGTAAATTTCTTAGATGCAATTTACAAGTAGCTATGATTTTTTAAGTATTTATTTTGTTTTACTGCCAAGAGAAAAACTATTCACATCTTTCGATTGATTCTCTTTCTATTATAATATACACATTCATGTAAAATTTCAATGATCTTCGTCACAAAATACTTCAAGCCTATCAAGTAAATTTTAAACGCCTAGAATAACACGTTTCTGATTTATTTCTAAATCCAGCTTCAAATTTCCTTCTCATCTAAATATCCATAATGATTTGATCACACATAATTCAAAATTCTCAGCAGAGAATGATGCATATTACTTGGTAGAAGAATCATTGAACTATGTTCAACTATAATCTACATTCATCATTTCTCATATAACTAGAGACATATAACATATGCATGATATCTCGCATTACAACAAAATTATATCTTGTCACGCTTTTTTTTTCCATACTTTTAATCAATAAAATAAGAGCTAATCTGACCAATTTTTCACCTACTCAAGTACAACAAAAACAAAGCGAAACAGAAAGAAGAAAAATTCTTTTGTATACGCCTTTTTTTTTCTTTTCTCATGACATTGCCAGTTACTTGAGCAGGAATATTACCAGCATCAGTAATAGTTTTCATTTTTTATCGATTCTTTCACTCATCTATGTCTTTCTCTCTCTGTCTTCCTCTCTTTCATTTTCTACTATTTATTTTCATTTGTACAACTCTTCTATACTTAGTTCAACTTATTTTATTTTATATTCATAATCGATTTTTGTAACGACATTGAATAACGACCTTGTTCAATAAAAACAAATGGATAATCAACATGAATCTCATGAATATCAATATAAACCAAGAACAAATATTCGTGAACGACCATTACATTTATGTATTATCTTTGTTTTACTTTTATTTATTTTTCTTCTTGCTATCGAATCGGTAGCATTTATTGTACTTGGTACATGGCATCTTATTATTTCACATCTTGAAACTGTACATAGTTTTTCAAATGAAATCTATCGTTATGAATTAGGCTTTGGTATTCTTCTTATTATTATTGGATCATTAGGTATTTTAATGAGTATTCTTGGTCTTATTACTTTTTTTACATTACGTTTAGTATTATTGAGAATCGTGAGTAAAAAAAATACATAAGTAATTATTTGTATGTATAATATTTATTGATTGTTTTAGTTTGAATTATGTTTATGTATTTTTATGATTATTGGAATTGTGGCTGGCATTATTGGTATTAGTTTTGCATGTAAGTTTAAATTATTGATAAATTTTTAATTTTGTAATAGAAGAAAATATATGAAATATTTGTAAAATTTGTAGCACATCTAGATAGATTTATGAATCAATCAAATAATTCCAATGTGGCTGAGAGAACTGTAAGTTTTAATATGATTTCATATGATAAGGTCGATATTGATGATCATGATAAATATTAATTTTAGTTTGCTGAAGAGAAATTTATGTTTGGAATGAATGGTGGATTAGTTTTATTCATGAGTTTAACCTTGGTAAGATTAGTTGATATGTCAATAACATCATATAAGTTGTTTTTCTTTTGTTCTTGTAGTTTATTGGTATCACAATAGTTCATTATTTGGCGGGTGATGTAAGTTCATATTCAAGCGATCGTCCATATGTTCAGACAAAATAAAATTGTCTACAGATATATATGCAAATGAAAAAAAGAAAAAGTGTATAATTCGTATGATATTTGTTGATTAGAATATGTCATTTGGTATATAATAAAAGGAAAGAAAAGTTCTATATATATGTATGACATTACTAATTCCTGTTGCACTATTGTATTTATTACGTATATTTGTCTTCGATTAAGATAGAAAGAGATAACCCCCATTATTCAGTATAACATAAAGAATATGCAAGATATGAAAAATGTCAAAGCTGTCAACACTAAGTGATAAATGTGAAGGAAAATAATACTTCTGTAGAAAGATTTCTTATGTAATAAATATTGCTTCACGTAAGTGTATATACGTTTACTTGATATCATTAGTACTCAAAAAGTATGGAGTTAGTATTTTTGTTACTCTTATTAATCGGTACAAATTTAATAGTTTCAAATAATTCATCATCATTTGATTTAACACTAAATCTTGATGGTATTGATAATTATTTTCGATTTATTGAAACGGCAAAATCAAATAAACAAAAGTATCATTTACCATCTATAATCATTCTTGATGATGATTATAATCCTACAATAAGAAATTCATCACATTTAACGTTTGTTGAAACTTATCATGTAGAATCCGATGAAAATTTATATGGTTTTGCAACTGTAATCAATCGTACATTGTCGAACAACAATCTTTTATTTGCTATGGTACAAATATCTAATGGATCATTTTATGATATATCTTCACCTATGTCTAGAAAACAAACAAAAACAAAACGATCATTAAATGATGCTTATATTATTAGATCTAAGCAAGCAATTATTAAACAAGCATATGTTAATATTAAATGGAATAACAATCGTGAACGACGTGATATAGATGAGCCAGAAATGGTGATTGATAGTTCAATCAAAAACGAAGAACGGCTTCCAGTATCTAAACAAATGAGTTCATCAACATTACCATCCGTTTCTCTACCTGATAAAATAGAAAATATTACAATACCTTCAGTTGGTAATGATACTGAATCAATGATCAATGCTACAATAAATACAACAACAACAACAACACCAAGACCAATACCTAAAAAATCTCGTCATTTATATCTCGAAATAACTGCTATTGTTGATAGTCTTATTACGAATGATCTTCGAACAATGTTAAATAAAACTGAATTAGAAACAATTGAAATACTTAAATTATACTATACAAATGTATTTATAAGTGTTGAACAACTTTATCAACAATCATTAATTCATGAAACACTTGATGTTCATATTCGTTTATCAAAAATTATTTTTGCTACTAATAAACATCGTCTTCCATGGGAATCATTTAAAAATATATCATCTCTAACAGATTCTTATCGAAAATCACCTAATAATATACATTTACGACCAAATATTAGTACAAATCTTCTTAAATCATTTCATCAAATTTATACATCAAATAAATTTGATGAACGTTTTTTTCGTAATGGTTCTGATCATATTGTAACATTTACTCGTTTAGATCTTATTGAAGGTGCTGGTTCAGCTTATGTATTAGGTACTTGTTTACCTTTATATAAATATTCAATTGTTCAAGAAGATTTCAATTCATTTGTTGTTGCAATAACTGTTGCACATGAACTTGGTCATAATCTTGGTTTAGATCATGATGAAATAGAAAATAAATGTAATGATCCACGTTTTCGATATATTATGTCGCCAAAAAATATGAATACAATTGATCGTCGTCAATTACCATATTTCTCTGAATGTTCAATTAAACAAATAAATAATTTTGTTGATAATACAACAACAACATGTTGGAAAAATAAAATAATTAATATACAAAATGATACAAAATTAGAAAAAATACGAAATGTTAGTTCAATGAAATTAGGACAAATAATTAATATTCGTCAACAATGTCAATTACAATATGGACCAAAATCTATTCCATATATTTCTATTACATATAATAGTAAAAATCAAACATTATATGAAGAAAATATTTGTAATCAGTTACAATGTTTTAAAACTCCAGAAGATCAATATATGTATTGGCAAGATGGAGCACTTGACGGTTTGTTTATTAGATTTTCTATATAGTACATTTTGTATACGTCTATATATAGGAACTTCATGTGGTGAAAATCGTATATGTCATCAAAAACAATGTGTGCTAACAAATCAAACAATGAAACAAACAGATTTAGATATTTGTCCATATGGAGATTTATTTGTACCTATTCCAATGTTGTATTTATCAGATAAATCTACAACGGGTAATATGCTTTGTGCTGATGCACTTAATCTATTAAAATCTCGTGGTATGAATGTAACACATTTATGTTATAACTCACCATTACCTATTCATCGTTTATGTTGTGAAGAATGTAAAAAGTAAATTAAAAACTAAATTTCAAATTAATTTAAAATAAAAAAAAAACAAAAAGAAACATATTAATTATTTTATATGTTTTATTTTAGACATTTAATACCTGAATGTGGTGATCAACACTCACAATGTTCTAAGTTTAGTCAATATTGTCCAATGGAATTTATTCGTATCAATGGAGTACTTATTAAAGAATTATGTCCATATACTTGTGGTCACTGTCCTCATCTACCACCACCTTCAACTACTACAACTACTGTAACTACAATGATAATGGTAAATCTTATTTGAAGAAAAAGTTTGTCAGCACAATCCCTTTAGGACTAAAATGTGAAACGCACATGTGTTATTTCATCTCATTATACTAATACGAAATACGTAAAATGAAAAATTTCTAACAGGCTATAGTTGTTTTCTAAGGATAATCGATCGTTAGGAATAGAATATTGGTAAAATATGCTCTGACGAATTCTGAATATCGTTTTGCTTCGAATATATACATATATCAGCTGATAGAGTTTGAAATTTTGAGTCTATTGGATTCCATTCTGAGCCAAAATGTCAACAAAATAAATGTTTGTAAAATGAAGTCAAATGTAACTTTGCTATATGTTTTGAACTAACTAGAGTACATTTTCCCGAGCATTTATTTGAGCTTTTGATTCAGAGTATGGCTCAGTAGACTTAGAATCTCAAGTTCTATCAACTGGTATAAGTCTCAAGTAAATCAGTGCTCAGAGTGTATTTTACTAGTAGTCTCAGGGAAATGATTTGTCTTATTTATTTCTGCATTACGAAGAAAAATTTTTTCTTTGTCGTGTTGCTATTCGTTCATTGTTTTTCATTTTCATATTCCGTTTTTCTTAAGTTAACATTATTATTATTTTAACCATTATAAAGAATCGTGTTTTACATATTCATTGTAACTACTAGTAGGTCTCTATGCACTATTATATATCTCAATAGACTCAGAAACATAATATTGATTATTTCTCAAAGTTATGACTTGAGTAATTCATGCTTTTTATGTGGATCATATGATGACTGTGGCAAACTATCCTTGATATCTTGAATATAAAGTTTTATTTGAGAAAAAAAATTAAAAACTGCACTATTTAGAGCATTAACAAACATTTTCCAGTCATTCAAAGTTCGAGAAAGGCTTAGGATTGTTCTAGAACAGTCAAAGTCTTGTTGTTCGTGTCATTTCGAGACTTTTTCCGCTGCTAAGAAACTCTCTGAAGCATATTGTGCTTGATTGTTATGGAAATGTACTAAGAGATCGTCGGCCTTTCTCTTCACCCTACTCTGTCTGTTGACAGAAAAAACATAATGATTGACTTGCGACCTTTGCTACAGAGTGCGTTGCAAAAACTCGATTTAAAACTTAACATTCACTATATATTTCTTTGAAAAGTATAATTTGAGTTTCACAAAACAGACTCAATTATAATAAGGAAAATTTGTAGCTTTATTTTTCCATATAAAAAACCCATTGCTCTATGTAATATAGTACAATGTTCTTTTGCAGTAAAAAAATTTTGAAAAATATGATTGAAGATTAAATTCTTGTTTTAGACAACAGAAAATACAACTTCGACGAAAACAACAAAAAAAGTAACTCCGACAAAAAAAATTCAAACAACAACATTAAAACCTCGACAATATGTCAAACCTAAAAATTTCGATAAATATACATGTATTGATTCAGCTGATTGTTCTCAATTAATTAAAGTTTATTCTAAATTAAAAAAAAAAGTTCAAAATTGGTGTACTGAATATTCAACTATGGTTGAAGGTCGATATTTTGTTGAAATGTGTCCAAAATATTGTTCACTTTGTAATATAACATCTGAATGTGATCAATATAAATTATGTCGAAATAATGGTACATGTATTAAAAATAAACATGGTACATATCAATGTTTATGTACAACATCAAAATTTTATTATGGTACATTATGTGAATATCGTCAAACATGTTTAAAAAATCCATGTTCTTCAAAAACTGAATTTTGTATTCAAACTCAAGGTGAAAATTATTTATGTTTATCAAAACAAGATAAAGAACAAATGCGTATCATTTTAAATGAAAAAAAATAATGATCTTGGTTTTTTTTTTCTTTCTTTAGAGAATATATTATATTTCTTTCTTTCTTTCTTACTTAAACATAATTTATACACGAAAAAAATAAAAAGCTAAATAAAACATATTCAATTGTATAGATTGATCGTATTACATAAGCAGAATTGTTTATTCTACGATGATATTTATGTAATCCTAAACCAGAACTTAAATAATCTGTACGTGTTAATTTCCATTTTGGTGTGATATTTTTTGTTCGATTTCGTGGCGCTATTGTTATATTTAAAGGTTGTGTTGGAGGTGGTAAACATGAAACAGTATAATTCGATGTTAATTGTTTAACTAGTGAAACAATCGGAAATTTGCCTTGATTACATGATTGACCTGAACTATCATCAAAATTAACAGGATATATAACAATACCACCAAGACGTTGTTCTTTAGCATAATTAATCTATTGAAAAAAGTTTAATAAAAATTTCTATTCTGAACTTTTTACTTACTTTAAGTTCCATACTTTGAAGGTCATCAAAACCGATAAAT